AGCAAAGACATCAGCAACCACGAGGAAAAGAAAAGGGGAAAAAGATGTACGTGGCAACTGCAACAATAAGAACAACCAACACCCCAATTAACGCAGCCAGCACCACGGAGGAAGAAAACAAGCAAAGAAACGAGACGAGCGTCTCCGTTGATGTTGTTTTTTCTTTTTGTGCACTTGTGTCTTGGCTTCTTTGCTAGTGTTTCGTGTTTCTGGTGAAGCAACAAGGGGCGGCTCCCCCTTGTTTTTGTCGATGTCGCCTCGCCTCTATTTTACATAGATGAATATATATATATATATGTATATTACAGCTAAACACGCACAGGTGCGGACATATACAGGAAGCTCCCAGTGCTGTATCCTTCGTCACCTCCTCCTTCCCTCTCGCTTTTTCTCTTCCTCGCTCGCCGTTATGAGCTGCTGCGCTCACTGCACTTTACATCACGGCCGCGGTGCACGTTTTTCCCCTTCGTTTGATATCCTCACAGCGCGAGTTCCGTCTGGAGAACCATCTCCTTCAGGGCTTGCCGCTCCACCAACATGGCCTCACGGGCCTTGCGCGTCTCCTGCCGCAGCAACGCACGCTCCCTCTCAAGCGACAACGCCGCCTCGCGCTTGGAAAGAAGCTGCAGCACCGTCTCGAGCTTCCCAAACTCCGTCATGCGCTTGTTGCGCAACACGGCGAAGGATTTTGCCTCCATGTCCTCGCGCTCCCTTTCTTGCCGCGTCAAAATCTCTTCGTCCCGCCGGCGCTGCAATTCATCAAACAACTTCTGGTGCTTCACCTGTTTCTCGATTACCTCCTCCTTGAAGGTGTTCACTCTGTCGACGGCCGCGGCGAAGGCCTCCTTCATGCGGGTGCGCTTCTGCTCCTCCTGCAACGCACGCTCCGCGCGCGCCGCCTTGGAGCTCTGCTGGAAGCGCGCAATACGCTCCTCCATCTTCCGCTGCTGTTCCTCTGCCGCCTGTCGCACCTTCTCTTCATGCATCGCAGCCCGTTTGCGTGCCATCTCTCGCAGCTCCACCGATTTTACCGCCCTCTCCAGCGTTTTCGCGCGCAACTTCTCCTGTTGCCTTTCCTGTTCCTCCCGCAGGCGCCGCAGTTTTTCCTCCTTCGCTTCATGCTTTTGCTGAATCATCAACTTCTGCTGCTCCTGCTGCTCCGCCACACGCTGAAAGCGGAGCTGGCGCTCCCCTGCAAGCCGCTCCTGCTCCTCACGACGGTGCTCTATCTGCCGCTGTTGCGCCTCCGCCCGTCGGGCTTGTTTTTCCTCCGCCCGTGCTTGGCGCTCCTGTAGTCCCTTCTTGTAAAATGCCTCAAGCTCGGCTATTTTTTGCCGCTGGAGTGCAAGTCGCTCCGCTGCTCGCTCATGTGCAAGTCGTTCCTCTGCCTTTTTCGCCTCTATTCTTGCTCTTGCCTCCTCCTCCACCCGTCGTTGTCGATCCTCCGCTATGAGTTGACGCTCGTGCACGTCCTTGGCGAGGTTTATTTGCTTCTCTATTCGAGTCCGCTCCATCAGCAGCGCGCGCTGCTGTCGCTCTTGCTCCTTTTTAAGGGAGGTCGGCAACTCCACCACGGTCTCTTGCTTCTTGTTTTCATGAAAGGCCTTGATTACTTCCGCCAGGTTAACACCACGGCACAACTCCACGTATCTTTCCTGCAAACTTGCGAGTAACTCCTCACGATACCGTCTTTGGCGCTCCATGCGCATGCGCTTCACCAACTGACGCATTTCTGGATCCGGCGGAAGGAGTGCATCATCGTGAATAGTGGTGTGCGGCACCAAGTCGTTTACAACGATGCCGTTTTGCAGCATAACAATAACAGAGCGTGGAGAATTGAGGGAAGTGACTTTGGCGTCGCCTTCAGGGGGATGCCATGTATGCAGCGTCACGAAAGAGCCTGGATACCGCGACCCATGCATCCACCTCAGATCAATATTCTGCAGGTCCAGTTTAAACGATTCACTGTACTCGGGCGGGGTGCAGAGTAGCACACGAAGTAATTGTGCACAGTGTTCTGCAGTCAACACGTTCCCAGGCTTTGACTGAGGCAGCCCTACTGGGATGCCGCTAACGTCAGCACCCTTCCTTGGTGGAGCAGGGTGCAACGGTTTCTTCGGCACCATTGGCTTTATCGTCTCCTTTCTAATTTCTGTGCGGAACTTCGGGGGCTTTTCTTGCGACACTTGTTGTGGTGGTCGACTTGGGGACAGTTGTTTTTGGGGTGCTGCAGGTGTCATCTTTTTTCCCGCGGTCTCCGGCGCCTTTGCCACGGGTGACAACGGTGGCGGGGTTGGTGCGGAGGACGGCCCTATGGAGCGCATCGATCGAGTGCGAGTCGCAGTTTGTGGCAGGACATGCTCCGGCAGCGGAACTGCCGTCGAAGGCCGCGTGGGACTTGCACGTGCAGCTTCGCCTGTCGCAGGTGCTGCGAGCTGCACATCCGCTGCCCCTCCCTTCGCTGACTGTCTGTAGGGTGAAACCGAGAAGGATAGCTGCTTGTTATGCTTCCGCAATCGCTTATGTGCCTCGTACTCGCGCTCGGCGACGGTCGGCTCACTGGGTGACGGCAGCCGCCTGTCGAATTCCACCGGCGCAAGCTTCAGGCCAATCGTCTGCGTTGTCTCGGGGGTGCCAAGGTGGTGCTTGAACAGCTCCGGCTCGTACTTTTCATAGTCGCACAAGAGTTTCATGCGGGCCCGCTCGTCTACAACCTTGGGGATGTTTGGAATAACGATACTTGGGCCCCGCTCCCTCGTGGAAGGGCTCTTGTGGAAGAAGGAGACCTTCTTCTCGGGCAACATGGCGGCCCCACCCTCTTTGCGAGCCGTCACTCACCCCAACTTAAAGACTTCCCCGACTGGTCTGCGTTTGAATGCCTTATTCTTCTGCTTCCCCCGTGCTTTTGCCCCTAATGGGTGCGTCGAATCGGCCCTTGTCGCAAAATGCGGCACGCCCTTTTCCTCCTTCTTCCCTCACGCTCTCCCTCTCCTCTTCTCGTTGCCCACGGCGCGGCCAAACGCGGCACACACACAGAGAGAGAGAAAAATATATATATATATATATACAGACCAACTACGGTGAGAAAGAGCAAGAGAGAGGGAGAGAAAGTGTGCATGGGGGCAAATGAACAGCGTCACCGCAGCGAAGTACTGCGTACTCTGTGCCGTTTTTTTTTTGCTTTTTCATTTTCGATTTCGTTTCCACTTCACATCCTTCATCGTGGTTGTATTCATTGACGATGACCGTCCTTTCTCTCACCGCTTCTCCCGCTAGTTTACATGGCACGCTCCCCGTTTCCTCGGGCCTCTCCTGCCCGCTCCTCCCCCTCCTCCTCCTTCTTGTGTACGCTACACCCTCAGATGCATGGCGGCGACACCCTTCTCGTAGTAGTCCTTTCGGGCGAGACACAACTGCGAAAAAGTCGGCATCGACGCTACGACGGAGGCACCGATCCAGGCAGCCATTTCACGATCCGGGAAGGCAACGCAGTTGACCTCCTGCTCCCCACTAGTATTCAGCGCCGACACGTCATGCTGCAGCCGCTGCTCGAGGCCAGGGAACAACGTGTTCCCGCCACCAAGCACAATGTTCTCCAACAGATGCGACTGCGTAAACGGTGGTGCCTTCCGCACGACGTGCGTCACGGCCTCTGCCCACCCAACCTCCCCACTGGCACCGCCGTCGCTGCCCTCGTCCCTCGGAGGGGCAAAGAGAGCTTCGGGAACCATAAACTGGCTTTCGTGGAGGTAAATGTGCTGCTCATCTGGCAACTCATAGCTATCCAGGTGCGCCTTTCTGCCCATGTCTACCATCTCCGCCTCCGCGTCGACGGCAACGTAGCAGCGGGAACGCTTTATTTTTTCCACGAGACAGCGATCCTCTGCTGTGGAGAGGGTGTATCCTTTGCCGCGCAAGTATTCAAGCAGACGATCCGTCAAGGTACGTCCAGCTATGGGAGAGGAATGAAAGGCGTGCTGCAGGTTGTAACCCTCCCAGACGGCATTGACCGTGGTGCAGTCCTCCCCGCTATCCAGAACGAGGCCCGACGTGCGGCCAGTGGAGTACACCGTCGCGGCGGCAGCACTCGTCATGGCGAGCAGTGGGAGGTCAAAGCTTTCAAACAAAAGTTCACACATCCGTTCGCGGTCCTCGCGAGGGGCGCAGGCTGGTTCCACCCAAAGCAGCGGTGTTTCGTCTGGCACAAACGGCAGCCATGCGTACAACGCGTCATGCAGGATGTGCTCAAGGCCCTTGTAACTGACCACACGACGGCCTTGTACTGGGTAGCTGAGAGTTAACAGTCCTCGCCGCTCCCACGCGGCATCACCGGCGAAGGTGTCACCGTGATGCTGCAGCAGAGACCCAAGCATGCCTTGGCACTGTGGCGTTCCCACGACAGTGGGCTGCACCACGCGTGGCGCCTCCTCGCCACCGAAGCCGAGCCTAGTAGTGCCCGATCCCACATCCACCACGGCAATGGGATGGTGTTGATGCAGCATCGCTGACGCGAGGGGCCAGCAAGTCTATTCACCCCCCGCTACTACAACCACAACTACTACCAAGAAAGGAAAAAGGAGGTGAGTGTAGAGCTTATGCTTCGCATAAAAAAAATGTCAGCATTGTAATGGCAACAACAGCAATCATCTTTCACCGCGAACTTCTCAAAAATTACCGAAGATGAAGCGCTAGGGCAGGCGTCAAAAAACACGAGGCAACCGTTCACCCCCTAATACTATCACACACACTCAGAGTTACACCCACAGCACCACGCACACAAAAACACGAAAAATGCCGAAGAGGTGTGTATGCGCACACACACAATCACACACGCTTAGGTGTACGTCCTACGCCTCCTTCCCCTTCCTCTCTCTGCTTTTCTCTCGCTCTCGCCCTGATATGGCGTCATCGTCCGATGGTGCCCCCATCTTTCCTACTAACCTCCCTCCCCTCCCGTCTCCCCCCCCCTTTTTTTTCCACTTTCATTTTTACGGTTTCTACACTTAACTTTCTAAATTCACCTGGGCAGCAGGAAAAGTAGTAATGTACACGGCAAGTGGTCACTTCACTTTTGTTGTGCAAATTCACCACTGCGACTGACGTACAAGCCATCCTGCGGTGCATCAAACACGGCTGGTCTAGTGCCAATGGCTTCTCTGGTCCCCTCAATCGCCTCCCTGTGGGACTCAAGGACTAAACTCATCTCCCTGTTGCGTTGGTAAAACTCGTGTTCATTGAGGGCCCCTAAAATCCAGCGCTGCTTGTGTGTGTTGAGGCTAAATGGTTGCTGGCGAAAGTAGATAAAAATAACAATGATCGTGACGCCCACAAGAGCCGCAGAGAGGAATACTTGGTCCGGCACCAATAGCATCAGAAATATTTTCCCCTCGCGGTGAGTGCGCTGCGCTTGCTGAATCGCCGCCACCCGCGCATGCGCGTTCATGTTGTTGTTGCGATAAAGCATACCCTTCTCAGAGGCACGCGCGCCAGGAGAGAAGGCGTGCAGGTACGGCTTCATCGCTTTCCGCAATGTTTTTCGCAGCATCTCCGCTTCTTTCACTCCTACCTTTGTGTGCTTGTATGTGAATGCTCCTGATAACTCTTTACTATCACTCTATCACTTGCCTTGGTGCGTTTTTCTCCCCTTTTGAGACCGGTTGGCTCCCAAGCAGCAGTTGCGCTTATTCCCAAGCCGAGCAGAGAAACAGGGAACCCTATAAAGCTCCTTTGCTCCCTGTCTATGGCGTGTGGGTGTTTGGTGCTTCCACCTCCAGCCAACAGGGAGAGACGGAGAAAAGACGAAAAAAAAAGAGCAGCACGAAATATACAAGACAAAGACGACCTCCGCCATTACAAGGGAACGACCCCCCCCCCAAAAAAAAAAAAAACGGCACATACGCACGCACACAAACATTACATGCCCAGTGAAGGGTGCAGGTAGATTAGATACACAGCTGGATGCAATGGTGGTTTTTGCTACATAGGTGCGTGTTCGCCTCCCCATTGTCGCTTTCACGACCTTCTCGACTGCCGGAATTTATCGATACTTCTGGCGGTTTCGTAGGGTGGCTGGTTGGCTTCTCCTCCGGTGAACCCGTCAACCCAAGGCTCTTTGTTTTGCGGCCGGTTTTTGTCTTCGTTTCTCTGTGAGCGGAGGAGACAAGAGGAAATGTTTCTATTCGGCATCCCACTCCTCCTCCCTCTCGCTCGCAATTTTACATACACGGATGTTGTGTGTGGAGACGTGGAGAGCCCTGTCGAGCGGAAGGCGCTACGCCAAGTACCCCATCGCCACCGCCTTGTTTTTAAACTGTTCGACGCCGCAAAGGCCATCCTGGGCGATGCTTGCAAAGACCTCATCGATTTGCTTATCGCTGAGTCCGAAGTCAAGCTTCTTGCAGAGTCGCCGTATGTCTTCAAGCGGACGACCGCCTGCAAAGTACTCGGACGCCACGCCGAGTTGCACATAATGGGACGGATACAAAAGATGCGGCACACGCGCCTCGTCGTCCAACGCCGTGAGAGCCACTGACCTGCCAGGCTGTTTCCCGCCAAACGTGCACGCAAACCTTGAACGGCACTCGCCGTCGCCACCGCCGGTGGTGGTGGCATCTTCTATTGAACCCGCCTTGGAGGCCGCGGCACGTGTGCTGGCACGCTCCTCGAGCGCCTTCAGTGTGGCAGGGTGCTGCGCCCAGCTGCTGAGCAGGGCACGTGCGGCGTCCCCATCCCCCCGGCGTGAACGCCGCACAGCTCGCTGTTCCGCCGTTGCCTCGAACGCGGAGTTATCAAAGCCGTACGAGCGCGGTTTACCGAGCTCCACCTTCACCGCCGTTTGGTAATCATCCACCAGCTTCGGAAACACCTTCGATACGGGGCGATTCTCACACATCACATCCGCCGATGTCATGCCTTCCTTCGCAAAAATCTTCCCGAAGCGGTGTTGCGTGGGGTCGATGCCGGCGCCCTCCCAGTCGTAGCCGCGATCCTTGCGCTCGCCGGCGGGGTGAAGAACTTCCACGTCTTTGCCGCCATACATGACTCGCTTGACGCTCTCACTCGGGTCTGAGCGCACGCCAAACCCATCGCGTGGGACAGGCACCTCGAATGGCGGTGCCGGTGCGTGGCCGAGGGGGCGGCGAATGGAAGAAAGATACATGCGCTCCAGCTGCTCATTCATCAGCGCCGACAAACGATTCGTGTCGGGCTGCAAACACAAAAGCGCACTATCACCGGCACTGTTCTTGACGCCGTGGCGTATGGATTCATCGACGGGTGGATCGCGCGCGATACCGTAGTGGCGATACGTTCGGCCGACTTCGCCGCCGCGTCTGTAGGACTTGACAAGGTCTGGCGTGACGCAGCCGGAGGTGTAATAATTCGACGTCAGCTGCGCGACGGTGCCGCAGTCGCGTCCAACGACAAGGCCGGCAGTGCGTATCTGCGGAGCGATGTGGCGCCGCGGCCGGGTACCGCCAAGCGTGTTATCGTACACGCTGCACGAGGGCGTAGTCATGACACGTTCCCGTCTCCACGCACTCTGCTTGGTTGCTGCTCTTTACTTCGTCGCCCTTCTAATGGGGAACGTGCACCTCCCAGCGACGCGGACACCACACACAAACACACAGAAAAATAGAGCAAGTGAGAGAGAGAGAAAAAAAGGGGGAGGGGAAAAAACGGCTCCATTTCGTTGACTCTGCTGTACATACCAGGTAAAGAACACGGAAACAGATCATAAAGAACGGGAGGGAAAGCGAAAGGTCACCCAAAACACTCCCATCCACAGTTCAGCTGCAAAGTATATTGTATGTATGTATGTATGTATGTGTTTGTGTTTGTGTATGTGTTCGGCTGGCAGCTGGGTGTACGCGGTTAAATGCGCATAGGCAATGGTCAATAACCGCATTGGCGGGGTCATGGCCATTGCCGTCAGTGGAGTCTCGCCCCCGCCACACACGCACGTGCAAGCAGCAAGCAACAACGGCAATCCACACGGGCACGTGTGACATGAAGAGGCACATACACAAACATTAACAACGGC